TGGCGGCGCATGACGGGTTGTGGGGCATACTGAGGTAGAAATGGGTTTTAAAATTATATGATGCATTCTAATGTACGTGTATTCCGCTACCATTGACACAATTTTGGTCACTTGGTAAGTGGGCTGCTTCACGTCTCCCCTAACGTATGACCCTAAACGCCAGTAATCACCACCGAGAAAATAAAAATGACGAAATGGTATAGGGTTTTGTTTAGTGTTTTCGGTTCTTTTTTAGTAGGCGTTTTACGGCACTTGCAACACAATAAGGTCATATAAGTGCCGACGATTAGAGGTGTTAGAAGAGAGTAACAAACACAATTAAAGGAGGAGAGATAAGGACGAAAGATGTTTGATAGGAAAGAAGGAGCAAACCACACCAGAGCACCCGCCAACCACCCACTGGTATAGGTTTAAAGCCCCCATCAACACTACTAGGATATTCAAGAAGCAGGACCTCCGGGTTTAACGTCCATTTCCGAAAGGACAGTGCCAAATGGGAAATTCACGTAAAGTGCCTTTCCTAAGGACACAGCGTCGGACAGAGCTTAAGACAGTAACGTACAAAGAAAAGAATGAGGAAAGATAAGGACGATACATTATATTTGATAGGAAAGGAGGAGCAAACCACAGCACAGCGCCCTCCGCCGAGCCTCCAACCACCCGCCCTTACTCTGTGAGGTGCACGCATCCGGGCAGGCAACGGCCCTGGGACGCAAGACGCAACAAGACGTAATCGGGACGTCTGATTGACAAGACAAGCAAGTCGCGGACACAAGGAGGGCCCTGGGCGTCACTGGACCAACCAAGGCTTGCCTGCCAGCTCAGTAAGTGTGTTTGTGTGAAGAGAGAAGCACATCGACACAATAATGGTCAATTACTTTGTTGTTGTTGTTGTTGCTGTGTTTTGTTTTTGTTTTGTTTTTTGTTCGAATGAAGAGAATCACATCGACACAATAATTGGTCAATTACTTTGTATGTTAGAGTGGAGAGAAGTACATCAACACAACAATGGTCAATTAGTGCTGGGGAAAAGTAAGACAGAAAGACAGAAACAACCGAGGGAAAGTAAAAAAAAGTAGCACCAATCAATGGCGCTCTCCCAACCACCTGGGCTCAGTAAATGACACAACAAAGAAGTCATAGAGTACTTCTCAAGGCCATGGATTCTCAATTGACGGGCCCGCACAATATCCTTCTGTGGTTGTTATCTGGCTAACTAGCCATTAACCGTAACCTAGGCGATCATAAATTATATGACCGTCTAGACCGTAACTCATCTCGAACGACGCACGCTGTGTGGTTTGCTTATTTTCTTTGTTCCTCATTCAAGAGGGGGCTCCCCGTAATCTGCTTGTCTGTTTTATAAAACAAAAGTTGCGGGCTTCTTTGGGAATTGAAAGGTACGCAGGTTTATAGGAGAATTTCATGCAAACGATTACTGTGTACACGTAATTAAACTTGTTCCACTTTAGATTGAGCAAATTCACATTTTTTAACCCACCTGCGGCACTTTACTAACCCAAAGAAATATTAATTTTCTAACATTTAAAAAAAAGAAGAAATTACCCAAAGTCTCTGGCGCAGGTAAACCTACAACTTGAATTCCCGCAATTGTTATCACAATAATATGAAGGCTGTTTTACTCCCCCCCCC